GTTGCTGAAATTCCTCCCTAGGGGGAGACACAAGTCATACGGACCCCTTCTCCTGAGGTCTCGGTGGCAAACAGAGGTATAATTCTGTCAAAGTTCACTCTGGGGAACCAATGAGTTTATTGGGTTTCTTTACAGAGTGTAGATGAGAGGTTACTCATAGTGTGAGTGCCCTGCCCCCCAGCAGGCCACCCCTGAGAGCCTTTATCCAGCAGGAATGGAGGCTTCTGCCTAGCGCCTTAGGTGAAGTCCCCTTCCCCTTGTCTTCCTTCCTCTACCTATATACAATTACCCCTCCCCCAGCCACATGCAGTTAAGTCAGAACTACATGCAAGTGATCGGAAGAAGCTGGATACTTAGGTGAGGGTCCCATGACCTTCCCTACTCCCTCTATAAGGGGGCACAAACAATCAACAAGCCCGGCTAGGGAAATCCTTTTGAAAACAGGCGAAGCTGGCCCCCACAAGATGATGGTTGCTTGGCTCAAAGGAGAGTTACATGTGTAATTTGCATGGGGATTCACATTTGTAGATTCCTGTAAAGATGATGAAGTCAGGTCCTCTTACCCCAGTTAAAGTTTAAAGATGCAGAGGAGCTGTCAAATGATGCACTATGTGATTTTTTTGTAAGGACTTAGACTCTCTTCTGGCTTGTTTCCATTTTACACTTTCCTTTCTGTTTATTCTGTCATTCTATTCTTGAACCATTCAGCAAGTATTTATTGACCATGAAACCTCATGCATGTTTATGAGTCAGTATGCTATGACATTCATAAGGAAAAATATAACAAGTTATGATAAGCAAAATGTCCTTTGTATAAGCAAGCCCCCCATATTTTAAGGAAAATTAAAGGTCTCTATATCCATGATAAAATGGCTATGTACAATTAGGGTTTCTCTTATATAAACTTGTATGTATGTTTATATTATCATATAAGAAAGTTGGCTATCAAAATATTAATGGTAATTATCTCAGGCTGCTGAAATGTTAACTAATTCCTACTCTGTATTCCTATAATGTATGACAGTTGTGAACAACTTTCCACATTGTTTACATAATAAAAACAATAAGCTGTCATTGTACAGAAAAACAATTCATAGAGTGCACGCTATATCTAGAAGATGAGCCTCTGGATTTCAAAGTAGCAGATGCTCACCCGAGTTCTTTCTTTTACTTTGATGACACAAAAATTCCCCAAATGAAAATCAGTTGGAGCTCTGGAGTGGTAGTGACTTACAGCAAGAATCCTTCTCTAGGCCTCTTACCTGAAGGGCTGGGTAAAAGCATTGATGGTGAGCTTGGCCTGAGCTTCAGTCCCCTCTTAGTCCTTGTCTCTTGATTGAAACAGGAGATGTAAGATGGTATCTCTGACATCAGCTAGTCTTCCTGTAGTGGGCGTGGGCAAGGGTCTAGATGAACCAGTGAAAATCAATTGTGTGATGGAAGACCCAGCTGAGAAAAAAACGTCCTGAGCCAGTGGGCCAGAGCCAACCCCTCTGTACATGAAAGATCTCACAGGCTTTGTTTATTGACACAGAAGGTAGTTTTAATTACTCCGAAGGAATTTCTGGCATGCTTTGTCAGAGCTAGTCTTCAAATGTTTAATCAGTGGATTAGTGACAACGGGACCTACTGGAGAGGTCTACACAAGGGGCAGCTGTGAGAGAGCAATACTGCAATATGGCTGTTTGCAGCAGAGTAACATGGACAGGAAAATGCCGTCCACACATGAGATGACATGGCTTTGTGTTGCAGGTCTGAGAACCCCAGTGTTCCTCCTTGGTTTCATGACCCAGGCAACCTTCAGGTACTCTGTTGTTGTTGACTTACTAAAAAGTGACCTTGGCAAGGTGAACTAGAGCTGAATTTTGCACAATTGATCAAACAGATTTCTATCTCTACAACTAGTAACTTCAAAGAATATGCGTTTCCAATTTTAGCTCCAAAGAAACTGTATGCTTAGAATAGCATGATCCTTGCTTTAGTTTTACTCTCTCTTGGTGACCTACAAAATATTTTAAGAAGAGAACCAGAATAGGAAAAGCAGGCTGATGATATCATACCACAAAGCCATTTTAATCCATAGATAACTTGAAGTTTAGATCATAGTCTAAGATACATATGAAATTATTAGGGAAATTGCTTCCTTAATTTCTCTCTTTGCTTTTGCAGTTCTTGGATAAGTCACTGGAATAAGGTGGGGGGAAAATCAGTCAATAGTATTACATATCATCTCTGCTCCATTTATTCAAAATGAACTCAGAAAGAAATTTCTCTTTTCTCTTTGCAGAGAGATGCCCTCACTAGGTCCTTTCCCTTCATCCTAATCGGTATAAAATAGAAAGAATGCTTTCTTTTTTATTATAAATACATGTATGTATGTATATATGTATGTATGTATGTATGTATGTATGTATGTATGTATGTATGTATTTTACATCATGGTCGCAGTTTTCCCTCCCCCGTCACTTCCCAGTCCATCCCCCACAACTCCTCTCTGTTCTCACCCCCCCCCTCTCTTCTTCTTCTCTTTTTGTTTTTAGAAGGGGAGGTGTCTCCTGTGTGTCTCTATAATGTGTCCTATCTCGTTTTGGTATGAGTCTGCGCCTCTCTGTGTGTTTTGGGTGTGGGCGGGGTGGGTTTTTCTTGTGCCTGTTGTGGGCAGATGTGGAGCCCCGGCCCCACCTTTGGTTGGATTTGGGGGATTCTTGCGGAGGTTGGGGGGGAGGGTTTTTGGGGGCCGGGGGGTCAAGGTCACCACAAGAAAACTCACAGAATTAACTAACTTGGGTCTATAGGGGCTCACAGACACTGAACTGACAACCAGGGAGCCAGAACTATGGGACTGACCTAGGCACTCTGTATATATGTTACAACTTGTGTAGCTTGGCCATCTTGTGGGAATCCTAACAGTGAGAACAGGGGCCATCTCTGACTCTTTTATTGGCTCTTGGGATCCTATTCCCCATACTGGGTCACTTTACCAGCCTTAATACATGAAGAAATTATGCTTTCTAATGTAGACTAACAAGAGACAATGACATGGTACTTCGAAGTCTGGATAGGAACATAGGAACACAGAGGCATCTTCGGCAAAATATGCTGATGCCCCCTTTCGAGTTCCTGAGGGTATCTGTGTCATGAATGTTGACATGGTGGTTTGGCATTGCTTTCACAGAAAGATACTTCTGGTCATTTCATACTTCCAAGAACTGATCTTTTCCATCAGGTCTGCAGGGAATTAGGATTTTTGAGAAAGAACCTCTTTTAACCATGAAAACAACTTAGCACACTGTTCTACAGATATTTTGGTGCTGATGACATTTTCATCCTCTGGCCTTTCAGATTAGTCTTTTTGTAAACCAACTTGCCTAAATTGGTGATCAAATTTTGGTCATTGAAGAAATTAGATACAATATGGGTGCTATCTAATATGCGTATAAGAGTTTTGGATTCCTTCAAACTGTTTGCAAAGATCTTACAACAGTGAACAGCAAATGAATACAGCTTTGTTTTTACTTTTTTTTTTTTTTTTTTACAAGGAAGCAGAACCAATGGTGTCAATCAACGTATCTATGACCATGGGCCTACTTTGTGCTAGAAAACTTAAGGCTATGGATTCTGAGTCTCAGAATACAGCTTTTCTCCTGTTAAAGTCCTAGATAATAATTGGATTCTCACTTAGGGGCAATCTCAGGCTGGAGAAAAATACTCCTTTGTGCTGAATCTCTGTGCAAGATGGTGGCCATCAGTGTCCTTCACAGCAGATTCCTTGGGAAAAGCAACTTTGTGCACATCCACCTTAGCTCTTTTTGACTTCTTTTGCCTTGTCCTCCTGGGCTTTTCATCACCTCTCGTCAAACCTGCAATCACATTCCCCCTCTTATCTTTTTTCTCCCCACTTCTTTTAGCTTCTAGTGACCACCATTCTCTCTCTCTTTCTATGAAGTCAGTGTTCTTTTTCTCTTTAAACCTCTACCTATAAGTGAGAATTTGGAGTGTTTGGCTTTCTGTGCATCACCTAAATTCTTTGTTGGACCTAGGTAGGAGTTGTGCCTCATTTCTGAAATCATTGTCTGCTTGCCAAATCAAAAGGTCTGAAAGACCATGTCCCTAGCCAGTGATACAAGCCTCGATGAATTCAACATTCCTTGGTGAGTTCTAAAAGTGTAGGGAAGCCCATGGACTTGGTTCTCCTTCATGGCTGTGTATCATACCCAAATACCTAACTCATAGGTATCTGTCTGAAGGAATAAATCAGACAACAGTTGTATCTTAACTAGTTTTGTCCCTGCCATGGACTGAACAGTAAATGGGCAATTGTTCTATTGTTTGCAGTATTTCTACAAGACTTTAGTGGTCACAAATATAATTCATACTGGACCATAAAACTTTTGTCCTCATAATCCCTAGAGTTTGGCACTGAACTGAAAATATATTTTAGGTGGTAAGAACATAGATGACTAGGTTGCTATTTTTATGTCCTAAGGCAAATTACTGAACTTTTCTAAGCCCATCTATCTTTGTTATAAAACGAAGATAACACAGCCCTTAATTTCTTAAGGTTGCTATGAGCACTATGCATGTGACAAGGTATATAATAAGCTGATGGTGGTCCAAGGGACACAGTTATAGCATTTTCTTGAGTTATGTTAGGATTTATTTTCATTAATATTAATATCGTCTATAAGTCCTAAAGTATACAATATGACTGTTGTAAGACAGAACAAAGTGTAAATAAGTTACTTCCCCATCTTTAACCCTTGAGCCAGTATCAGTTCAGGCTGGTGGTGATTTGATCCTCATTAAGTAATCAATATAATCTCTTGGGTTGGAATTCTGTAAGAATCTAAGCTATTAGTTGGAACTTGCTATATCAGGAGCAATCTCACCTAAGAGACTGGGTGGGGGCTGGGGTAAGTAAATGCAGCTGTATGTTACCAAAATCTGAAGCATCACCACCCCCTCCTGAAGCCTGGATCTGAACCCCATATTTGTCACAGGAGCCAAGAGAAACCCCAAGAGAGAGAATAGTGGCACAATAATGAAGCATGAATTACCCAGATGAAAGCATCTATGGAAGCAAAGGTATTATCATTTATGCCTGCTACTCTTGACCAAATAGCAACATGGAAGCACTGAGTCAGTAATTTTAACTGCTTAATGGTTATTCTGTGAGACTGAATATATTAAAAAAAATAATTGTATGTGAGACAGTTTGACTCATGATTTTAATAATTACATACTATTTTGATCAAATGTACATGAGGATGATAAATTTAATGATTTTAACATTGCTAAGAGAGAGGGTGCCAGGTAGACAAGAGAGACAAGAGCATAGTGTACTTTATTGATGACAGAGAAGTAGGCTGAATAGGCTAGTGAACAAGACAGATGAATTCATTGGTTGAACAGAGAACAAGGGCTTGGGGTCTGGAGACAAACGAAGACACAGAATAGGCCTCTTACTTTGCATATGATGAGGAATGGACGGTCCAAACCAAAGGTGATTTTTGAGTGTGAAAACAGAAATCACTGTGCAGGAACAAACAGGAACTGTGAACTGGTACTAAATCTTTGAAAGCCCTTGTACAACCTTGGGCAATGTCCCTTGTTTTGATCAGATGCTGTTTCTCACTTGTTTCTCCAAACCATTTGTGGCAAAAGGTGCCTACCTTTACAGGGTGTGGCTTTGCATCCTGGAAATAAAATTTAAGTGAATACAGTGGTATGTTAAGAAAAAGTATCACCAGAAAGTCTCCTTTGAGATCGAGTTTGTAACAGAGGTTGATAGGAACACTGAAGAGAGAAACCAAAGTTTAAGCTGTTTGGGAGAAAAGCAAAGGAAAGAGAGAGCTCTCAAAGGAATATTTGTCATAGGATGAATGTGACTTCAAAAGTGGCCCAAGGCCACATAAGGGTAGAAAATACTATGTAGCTGAGCATGTGTGCGCTTTTTTTAATGTGTATTATATATGTAGATATATTCTTTCTGTCCAGGTATGGACAAAAATGTACCAGGCATCAGTGTCCCTGGGGAGCTATGGTACTTTAGAAATTTATTTTTCTTTTTGTCTTTGTGTTTAGCAGTGTTGAGGCCCAAACTCAGGTCCTTGCCTGTGTGAAACAGGTGTTTTTCCACTCAACTATGCACATAGCTCTCCAAAGATACTTCTTAAAGCGCATTTTAAGCCCAGGATGGAGGGGCTGAAGAAATGGATGGCTAAGTCATTAAGAGCTCTTGTTACTCTAGCAGGGGACCTAGGGCTGGTTCTCACCACCCATATCAGGTAGTTTTCAACCTCCTAGAACTCCAGTTTCAGGGGAGCTGATGCCCTTTTCTTACCTCCAAGGGCACCTCCATGTGGTAAATGCAGACAAGTAGGCACACAAACAGACATGTAGATAACTTTTTAAAGTAAGATCATAAGAGATGGGGTTTATTTTTAAAGTGTGTGTGTGTGTGTGTGTGTGTGTGTGTGTTGTGAGATTCAGTGATTCAGTTTAGGTCTACCCTGGCTACAAAAAGTTCACATTTTCCTCTCTCATCTGTTTTAATAATGGCTTTGTAATGCCGATTTATCTTGTTTCATTACAACCCACAATAACACTTTCAATGTTGCTTTAATGAGATAAAATAGGAAAGATTTTGAATGACTTTCCAATGTTTGTGCTTCTCTACCATGGGCAAGAATGAGAGAGAGGGGGAGGGGAGAGGGAGAGGGGAGGGAGAGGGGGGGAAGGAGGGGAGAGAGAGGGGGGAGAGGGAGAGGGAGAGGAAAGAGAGATCATACTTGTATGTCCAAAAGCACAAAACCTGCAGTAGAAACAATTGGGAGTTGGCATTTTAAGAACTTTTGAGAAAGATGGCAATGGATGCCTGCTTTGTCTTTTGCCCTTTTCAAAATACTAAAGAGTTGGAAACTATTGAAACATTTTACATAGCTTAACAAATGAATAAATGTGAAGTATAAAGTATACGCAGTCTTTGAGAAGTGTCATTTTCACAAATTCACATATCTTTAAAAAATAGAATTCATTAGATGTCGGTTAAGATTGTCTTGAATTCGCAGCATGAAATTATTTAACACTTGTGACATGAAACCATATATGGTTGCCTCTGATTTCCCCAAACAAGAAACTGTGTCAGGGGATCCATGTAAGGAGGTTGGCAGCCATCTTATTTAATGGGTGCCAACTTGAATCATAGAGTAGTTAATAATTATTAAGCACTTGGGTGCCATTTACTGCATAAATGACTTCTGTGGATCTCTTACCTGCTGGCGTGTAGTAATCACCTTATGAAGTGACGCTATTGTGGTGTGTGCTTCACAGAGAAACTGAAGCTTGGGGAGGTAAAACTTGCACAAAAGCCCCATGACATAGATTAGGATCTGAAAACTGACAAGTCTGATTTTAGGGGTTACATTTCCCACCACTGTATAATTCATAACCCAACTCCTTCATAAGGCAGATTTAAAGATGAGCAGAGGCTGGTCATGCTGGCATGTCATATTTAATTCCAGCGCTCTGTAGGCAGAGGCAGGAGGATCTTTGTGAGTTTGAGGGAAGCCTGGTCTATATAGTGAGTTTCAGGCCAGCCAAGCTGTAAGGTAAAACCCAATCTCCCTGATTGGAAAGGTCTGGAAGCAGCATAGAACTCTAACTCCTCCTGCCCCTCTGCACGTGGAGTTGAAGCATGAATGATCTGTTCAGAAGCTGGAACAGAGTAAAAAGTAAACATGGTTGCAGAGACAGATGAAGCAACATTACTTGTTTTATTAGAAACACCTCTAATTTGGTGGACTTAGAAGGTTAGTAGTTAAAAGTCACACTCCCTAGGGGACCTTAAAAAAAAAAGCAAACGAACTTTCCAAGAGATGGAGCATGGATTTGGTCCCAAATGACAATTACTAAACTAAAAGGTGCTCAATCTGAGGTTATTAATCTCTGTTAATCATTCCATGCCCCTCTGTACAGCTCAGCACAAAATGAAACTGAGGCTTGGCAATTATCCAATTCCTTTTTTAAGAACCTTGGCTCTTAGTGCGGATAATCCAAGGCCTTCACTGGCCCTTTTTGAATCCTGGTTATCCAGCTGGTGTGTGGTGTGTGTGTGTGTG